GGGGGGGGGGGGGGAGGGTGGTGTTCTTATCTTGTTCTTATCTAAGAGGGGGAAGCTGTCCTCTCACTGAGTCGGGTCAGCTGAGTGGTCCTCAGGGGCAGCCGCCATCGCTTTGAGGATGTTGCCCTCTACCCTCGCCTACTGAGTCTTTGGATTACGAGAGTGGCTGGGTTTTGTCAGATGCGTTTCTGCACCCACTGAGATGATTAAGTGCACTCCCTGCCCCCCCCCCCCCTGCAGGACTTGGATTGAGTTCTGTTTGCTGACTCGGCCTTGGGATCAGGCTGTTAATCTCCGTTTGAGATCACACATTCAGAAAGGCTGCCATTGCCCAGAAAGGCTGCCATTGCCCAGCCGGCTGGCTCAGTGGTTGAGCGTCGACCTACGAACCAGGAGGTCGTGGGTTGATTCCGGGTTGCCAACTTGATACCCAGTGTGGGGCATGCAGGAGGCAGCTGATCAGTGATTCTCTCTCATCATTGATGTTTTTATCTCTCTCTCCCTCTCCCTTCCTCTCTGAAGTCAATAAAAATACATTTTTTTTAAAGAAAAAAAAATAAAATTTCGGTTGGCTGGGATCACAGAAATTGGATTACTACTATCAGTTCCTTTTAAAAGCTTTGACATAAGCTATTTAACTTTTGTTTAGGGAGTGAACATATAACCTTTAATTGTCCTTAGTTTAAGGAAAGCAGGGTTTTCTAGATTTAAGAGATTAGAAACACTTTCTGCCCCATCCGCATTTCTGTAGTAAAATTCTGCCTTAAAGATCCACCCCTGAAATCCCATCCTGCCTCAGTGAGCAGACTTTCCTTTTTGGCTAAATCAGAGGGAGGGGCCTTTGCTGTTTCAAGATGGTGGCCCCCAGGGGAGCGGCAAGCCATGAGGCTGACATGGCAGCTGCCAAGTCGTGCAGCCCAAAGTCGTGGCTGTCTACAGTTCTTTGACAGAGCAAACCAAAATCCCTAAAAGATAGATGGCCAGCATTATATTGCAGACAAACAGAAATCTCATTAGCTGTTTATACCTTTTATAATTATCTTAAAGAATATCAATTAAATTTCAACTGGTTTGTATTAAAAATTTCAGGTTGAGATCATAAAATTAATCCTCTTTTTTAATCAGACCAATAAGCAACATATTTTGAATTCTAATTATTTCAGAAAAAACAAAAATTATTTTCTTAAAGATAAATTTTTACTTTTTTAGGCATTTAGCTATAATAATTATACATTTTTTTTCCAATTCAATCCAAATCTTAAACTTTTAGCTGGCAAGTCAAATATTTAGCATTTCTCAATCAGTAACATTAAGAATAAACTTTAAAAATGCAAGACATAATCAACCAACAGATTCAATTCTGTTCTTTAGATTTTGTAGGAGGCATACTCAGATCTCATTTAATTCAGTATTATGTCACTTCAAGATACCTAGGTATAAGTTTTTATTATTTGATTTAGTAAACTCCAAGGTCTTAAATTTCCCAGCAGCTCTGGAAAACCACACTTGAGGCTGGCAAGGCAGGCCTGGCCTGGCCCTTGATTTTAAAACGACCATAACTTTTTCTCTGCGGGAGGTCAAGAAGCAAGCTTATAGCTACATTGTTTCCTGCTGGTTGCTTGCCAGTGGGAAGTTTCAAAATTGCCCTGGGAGGGGGGGAGGGGGGGGAACTGTTTTCCCTGGCAAAACAGGTTTGGCCTACCCTGGACCAATCAGATGTAAATTGACCACATTCTTTAAGAATTTGCTACAGGTGGGAAGCAACTATCCCCTTTCTCCATTAGAAAGGTTTGGCTAGCCTTTTCAATTAACAAAGGGCCGGTTTTTTTTTTTTTACCAGGCTACTTAGATTTTTAAAATTAAGAAATTTTTAATAATTCTTGAGATTCGAATCCAATTATTTTAAGGCATTTACTTTAGCAAATTTTTGTAACAGAGACAATTTTACTGATTTTTCTTTTAGAGGTCTTGAAGTTAGCTTTGGAACAGGCTTCATTAACATTTCAAAAATCAGTTTATTATGGAAAAAAACCAATCTTGTTGCTAGAATCTAGGCAGCATTTCTACCCTGGGTCAAGTTCGCCATTTTCCTTAGGAAATAATCAGTCTTGCATTTTATTTTGTACATTTGTAAAGAGACTCCAGCTCAAAACTCTATCTAAATGTCCAAAATCGGATGATGCGCCCATTAGTTTCAAGCCAGGTTTTCTTTTTCTTTTTTTTTTAAATAATTAAATCTTTATTGTTCAGATTATTACATTTGTTCCTCTTTTTTCCCCCCATAACTCCCTTCCTCCCAGTTCCCACCCCACCCTCCGCTCTCACTCCCCACCCACTGTCCTCATCCATAGGTGCATGATTTTTGTCCAGTCTCTTCCCGCATTTCCCACACCCCTTCCCCCCCCAAGCATAGTCAGTCCATTCCCTTTCTATGTCCCTGATTCTATTATAATCACCAGTTCATTCTGTTCATCAGATTATTTATTCACTTGATTCTTAGATTCACTTGTTGATAGATGCATATTTGTTGTTCATAATTTGTATCTTTACCTTTTTCTTCTTCTTCCTATTCTTAAAGGATACCTTTCAGCATTTCATATAATACTGGTTTGGTGGTGATGAACTCCTTTAGCTTTTCCTTATCTGTGAAGCTCTTTATCTGACCTTCAATTCTGAATGATAGCTTTGCTGGATATGTCCTCTTGGTTGTAGGTTCTTAGTATTCAGCACTTTGAATATTTCTTGCCACTCCCTTCTGGCCTTCAAAGTTTCTGTTGAGAAATCAGCTGACAGTCGTATGGGTATTCCCTTGTAGGTAACTGAGTTTCTTTCTCTTGCTGCTTTTAAGATTCTCTCTTTGTCTTTTGCTCTTGGCATTTTAATTATGATGTGTCTTGGTGTGGTCCTCTTTGGATTCCTTTTGTTTGGGGTTCTCTGCGCTTCCTGGACTTGGAAGTCTATTTCTTTCACCAAGTAGGGGAAGTTTTCTGCCATTATTTCTTCAAATAGGTTTTCAATATTTAAACAATGTAAATGTATTTTCTCACAGTTGTGGAGGCTAGAAGTCCAAGATCAAGGTTCTGGCAGGACTGATTCCTGCTGAAGGCTGTGAGGAAGGATCTGTCCCATGTCTCTTCT